CGATCCTTCTTGGCTGAACTTCTGTTCCTCCACTTTCGGCGATTTGCTCATGACCACAATGCTTCTGGGGCAACTTTTGAGGCCGACAAGGTTGGTGTTGTTGTTGTTAATGTGAAGATGGGGCAGAGATTTTGGGTTTGGTTGGAATTTTACAGAGGATGGTGGGGTGAGGGGGAGGGTTAGGGTTTTGGAGTGGAGGAGGGAAGAGTGGTGGAGGATCGGGTGGTGGACTGATGAAGATTGTGAGGTTAACATGCTTTTTGTGGGCGGAGACTGAGAGAGTGGAGGAGGAGGAAGTGGCAAAAGCACCACAACGACCGTAGGTCTTCACATTGTAGAGACTTAATGGGGCTACATGTATATGGGCTTCAAAATGAGAAGGTCTCACAAACAAGGATCTTTAGAAGAAAGCCCAACGGAGTTTGTAAATAAATAAATAAATAAATAACTCAATTTCAATTTAGTAGCCTTGAACTTTCATACATAAAGCAGGTTAATACTCGTATTTTCAATTTTAATATTTAAATAAAACTTATTGCAATGTAATTCAGCCAGTAGGGTGATCGTTAGGAAATCCGTTAAAACTCGTTTTTTCATAAAAAATAAAATAAAATTTTAGTGGCATACTATTGTGTTTCATAATTCTTATTTTAATTGTAGTAGTTCTTAATTTCAATTTTGAGTGTAAAATAAAGTTTAACTTAAATGTTTTTGTTTTCTTGGTATAAAGCTGGGAAGATTCGAACATAAAACCTCAGACACACGGGACGGGGGAGGTAAATGCATTTTATGGTGGCATAAATAAAGGATATAGAATAAAATTGCTCAAGCACTACAACTATGGGAGCAACACAATATTGTACATTTGAATTTGCAATCCAACCCACATCACAAATTTCAGTACCCAAACCTCAAATCACATAATACAAATTCAAATTGCCAAACAACACAACATTTCTTCTCAACATTCACATTACACAACACAAATGTTCCAATGTCACTTACAATTAAAATTACAAAAACAAAAAACAAAAGAAAAAGAAAAAGAAAAAAGAAAGATTATTAGAGAGATTCCCTTTTTATCCTTCCCTTTTAAGTCTATCTTCTTTTTTAAATCTATAAACAATACGACCTCGGGTGGTATCATAACGACTGACCTCAACCTTAACCCTATCCCCAGGCAAAATCCTGACAAAATTCTTTCGGATTTTCCCAGATATGTATCCTATGATGGTGTCCGCGTTGTCTAATCGGATTCGAAACATACCGTTGGGGAGAGATTCCGTGATCAGCCCTTCTTGGCTGAACTTCTGCTCCTCCACATTCGGCGATTTGCTCATTGCCACAACGTTAGGGCAACGCTTGGGGCTCAGAAGCTTGGTTCCGGCAAGACAGTGGCTGCTGCTGTTGCTGTTGCTGTTGCTGTTACTGTGCAGATGGGGCTGAGGTTTTGGGTTTGATTGGAAACTGAGGGGAGAAGATGGGGTTAGGGTTTTGGAGTGGAGGGGAGAGTATTGGAGGATCGGGTAGTGGAGTGAGGTTAACATGGTTTTTGGTGGGAGAGAGAGAGAGAGAGAGATGAAGGTTTGTTTCTGTTGCTGTCTGTGTTTTGTGGGTGGAGAGAGACTCAGAGAGTGGAAGAGAAGGTAAGGGGATTGGGTTTGGGTATTTTGGGGAGTGTATTAACAAAATATTGGATGGTGTCAAGGGCAAATCTGTAAAATTCTTTTAACTTTTTTTGTTTTCAAAGTTTTCAAAGTTTTGTTAATTTTTTTTGTTCTTTTTATACAAACGATAATTTACTCTAAATCAATTTAATATGACTTTGAGAAAGGACCCACTAGTATAGCGGTTTGAATTTGTTTGGATTTGTTTGGATTAAATGCTCCCTCGGGAAAGGTTATGGATTCAAATTCTAGCATATGTGTAGTGTGTGTGCGCGTTTAGTATGACATCGCCTCTCTCAATAAAAAAAGCCCTAAAAAAATTTGCTGCAAAATACATTATTATTAACGATGAATACTTACATTGATACATATTACATTATATAAAATTTCCATTAAAAAAAAGACATTATAGAAAATGTATTACAACAAAAATGAACAACACATCTTATTGTTAACATTCTCGCATATTACTGAATGATAATACACATGTTATTTGTTGTCAATTTGATTACTGATTCATGTTATTAACCACTAGCCTCTCCGCACCTGCGAGAGGCTTTTTTTTTAATTTAATTTTTTTTTTAGAATTAAAAAAGATAATGGGTAGTTGTTCTCCATAAAAATAGGATCCATTATCTGATTTTTCTTTTAATTTTAATTTTTTTAAATATGAAAAAGTGTGAATTTACCATATTATCCTTATTTAATTAATAATTTCAATTCTTAATATTTGCATTAACCAATGGCATTTTCTGGTATTTTGAATGTTTCACCATTCTCTGCCTTTTGCTTTATATATATAGATGTATTCCTTCTTGATAGTAACTAGTACATACGTGACTTTCCCTATTTTATATGCAATGTCAACCCTCTTATTTTTGTCTCAGAAGTTTGTTATAAATGTAAATTCAAGTTTCTGCTTTTAAGTATTTATTTTCTTTAAGAGTCTTGCTTTTATGTAGTTCAAGTATTTTGGATCTTTGATATATATATATATATTTTTCGTGAATGTGTAAATTTGGGATTGACAAATTCAGTTCCACTATTTACTTGTTATTGAGAATATGTCATTTCTCATTCGACTTAATTGTTGAAATATTTTTGGCACAAACATGAAGGGAAAGGAGGAATGAGCTTACTGTACAGACAGCAACAAACAGTCACTTATAGGAAAAAAGCATCTAACCTGGAAACAGAACTAGTAATAAACTTTTACGAGTATGTCTTATCACAGAAAAAAGGGAGCTTCATATGTTATCAAAAGAATTTCACTTTCATCTAAACGAGTAAATGTAACACCCAATTCTATATTCTACCCAACTTTTTCCTAAACATAACTTCAAACAAAGAAATATTTAACCTCCTAATAATAAAGGTCCACATCAAGGTTTCTTTCTCCTTTACAAACTATAGCAGCCTACATTTGTCAATTTGGATTAGGTTTCGTGATTACCATTTATGAGATTTCTTTAATCAGGTTAGTCAAGGTGATTTGACCGAGGTACATGGTGGACTTTCAAGCACGAAAAGAGCTTTGGCTGATCTTGTGGATGATATTCGCAGTCAAATTGCCGAAATGGAGGCTGGTTTGACATCTGTCTTGAAGTCTGTGTGAAGTAGTTAATCCCAGGCAATCCATGATATTTAACTTTGTGTTTCTTGCCATATTCGTTTATGACTTTGGAGAAACATGGATAATCATTATCTTATCCTTCTACTGCATCTTTCAATTTCGACCAAAAACAAAAAATCTTCTACTGCATCTTTGATTCTTGTTCACAACTAAATCTACTACAATATGTTTAATTGCTTCCAATATCTCACATAGTTTATGAACAAGTTTTTTTTTTATCTCACATAGTTTATGAACAAGTTTTTTTTTTTTTATATACCCAATGTAACTTCCTAAAATACCCTCACTCGTATAACAAACCCAACCCAATATCTCATATCCTCACTACATCTCAACTAAATTGACCACAATATATTTAAGGTAAATGATTTTCCCATTCCCCTTTTATCCACCTACATTTCTTTTTGTTTAGAAAAATTGAGTGTAAGTGGATAAAAGAAGAGTGGGAAAATCAGTCCCCTATATTTAATTACTTCCAATATCTCACATATTAATGCATGAATGATATTTTTTTTTTTTGTTTCAATCGTTAAGAGATGAGAAATTTGGACTTGTAATCTCTCCAGACATTGGAAAAAGAAATAATTAAACTAAATATTTTAGTTGATATATGAATGAGTTGGATGTTTTAAGACATGTTATAGGTTCACGGCAATTAAGGGCCCGTTCGGTATCCTACTTGGATCCAATTTTATAAACTCACAAATAGATTTTAAGTCCAAAGCTCAAAAAGCCCATTTGGTAGGCCCCTTTTTAAAAATCAAAATCCCAAAAAAAAAATAAAATTAAAAACACCCCTTATTATTGAAAAAAAAAAGAAGAGATTTTACAGGTTTTTATTCTCTATCAAAAAATAATATATCTATCAAAATATTTTGGGGAAGCAAAGATTTGTCATAGCCTAACATTAGTTTAGAATAAAACGAAATCCGCCACTTTTTATATTTCCTTTAAAATTAGTGAGGTTTTTTTTAATACACCCAAACTTTTATTAAGTCTTTTAAGATCATGATTGATTTAAAATGTCTGGATTGAATACACCTAGAATTTTTTAGACTTCTATAAAATCGTGATTGAATACACCTCGACTTTTAAACTCTCAATTGAATACACCCTAAATCAAATTAACATTTCTTTCTAGACCTAATGTAATTTCCTAAAATACCTCCAACATCTCATTTCCATTTTTTTTTTGGTCGGAATCAAGTTTCATTCAATAAAAAGCCAAAACCAGTTACACAAACGTTGAATCCAAAAAATGAGTTCAACCAAATGCAATACAAAAGGCATAAAGCCCACTATAGTCATTAAACTCACGAAAGACATGAAGCCCACATCAAGCCCCCAACATTTCATTTCCTAGCTACACCCAACCAATCACATTTGGGATAGGAATTTTACTTTTCAATCTTGTGTTTTTTTCTATCGAATTTGACAAATTTGATGCATTACAGTGAGTTCGTAGTTATTCTTTTATGTTTATGGTAAATTTGTGTGTTCGATGAAGGCGGCGGTGATGGCTTTGGGTATTGTGATGCAACTCTTGGATCTAGCAAAAAACAATCGTTTATTCTTTTATATATTTTGATGATAATTATATATTAGGATAAAATGAACAATTTCGTGAGGCTATTAGATAAGCTGTCTAATATCAAACACATTGCATCTGCACACTGTTGATGTTATTTATCCAAACAATCAAATAGTTACATTCTAAGAAGCTATATTTCCCAAGGAAATTACTTGTCACTAGACCCTAGAACTTTCTCATAATCTTCATGTCCCCCAAATCTACTTGGAAGGATACATCGTCCGCCAAACCGCTGCTGCAAGCAGATGATTGCAGCAAATAGCAGACATACAGAACAGACAATGACATCCTGCGAGCCGGAGAAGAAACTTGCATGAGTATCGATCGAAAACTTGGATGACCAAGGATCATAGGATTTAGCCCTGTAAAGGTCATATGCGTGTGGAAGCACACGCATAAAAGTGATTCCAAGGTAAAATGACCAAGAAAGAGCACTTTCCTTTGAGTTGAGAAAAATGTTGAGGACTTGACGGAAAAGAAAGCAATCGAGAACTAGACCGGCATAGGATCTTAAACGGCCCCAAAGAAAATGGTTTACAATGTGAAGTTGGTTCTGCTTGACGTTCATGAACAGAACAACGAAGCCCCCTGCTATGTATAATGGTGAATAAGCAAGGAACACCTTCTTCTCAGCAACCCAGGAAGCCTTGAGGTGTTGATCATGCAACTGTGTGTACCATTTCAGCTGGATGAGACGTTGATGGAACAAGCAGCAGCATGACAACCTGTACAGCTATCTCATTCACCTCAATCAGACAGAGGACGTAACCATGAGACGGGGGACGTAACCACTCCTTCCAAGAAGCTCTCTACAACCATTTATTAAGCTAAACATGGGATGAGAATCCACAACATGAGTGACCCTATGAACCACAGCTTGAGAATCACACTCAATCCCCAATAATCTTCAACCTTCCTCCCAAGATAGCTGTTACTCATGGAAGAGACCTCATAACTCAGCTTCCATAACAACAAAATCTCTAACTCAATTTTCATCAGAATTTCTCAAAGGACCTCCACTCCAGCACAATATGAGAATCAATAGCATGACAACTACCATCAATGTTGAGCTTAGCCACCATAAAATCTTGTCTAGGGGGTTTAGTCGAGAAAACCATATTAGCCTCATGCCACTCCCTAGCAAATTGCAGCACAATATTAGTAAGACAAGGAGGCCATTGAAACCTTTCATAAAAAGCATGTTTGTAATGCCATTTCGAACAAAACCAAATGGTTGTAGAAAACACCAAAAACCAAGTAAGACCATGATACATGAATCTGGCCTTTAAATTCATTTGCATCCATGAGTCTTGCTGCGCTAATGAGTAAATGCTCTGGAGTTTCAGATTCAGCATGACAAATAGGGAAATGAGTAGTCAGATTCCGTATCTGCCTTTGAACATTAGCAAGCTGCTTACCATGCTCCCAAATGAAGGTTTTTTGTTTAGGAGTATTTGCATATGCCACATAAAATCCCAAGGTCAAGGTTCAAATTCCTCATCCTCAAACAAACCAAGATAAACAGATTTGACAGATTGAGAATTATCCAAACCTCGTATTATGATGTAACTCAAACTAAAATGAAGACAGCAGCAGTACAAGCAATATTCAGTCGCACCACCGCAACTTCCTTCCTCTTGTCAACCAGATCATCAGGGGAAAAGAAACGCCCCCCAAAAAAGGCAGAATCTATGTCTCAGTTGAAGCATGACAAGCACATTCTATTTGATTCTTAACCAGTTTGAGTTCATCAAGCAATATGAACTAAACACCATACAAACAACCACATTGCATCTGCTACAAGAGCAAGTTAATGCTTTGATGTCTCTATGGTCCAAAGACCCCAAAGACCCCTAGAAAGAAAACCATAATCTAGCTACATGATAGAAGAAAAACCATGATTTCTGATTTTAAACAAAAGCACCAAAGATTTAAGAGAAAAAAAAGAAGAATCCCCAAAATTTTATTGTCATTTAGATTAGACCTGAAGCACATCAACATAGGTATCAAGTCATTGCAATACTGTGAGAATATACGAAGCATTATCATTCAAGCAACACAAACACAACAAAATACAGATGAGTTCTCCTAATCCTAGATTATGAGTCAAAGGGTACCCAAATCAAGCGGAGAACTTCACACCCTCATCATCTGCTGTAGTCCCCTTGAAGATTGCCAGCTTCCCTTTCTGCTCCAGCAGCTTCAAAGCTCGCATCAGAACAGTACGGTCAATCCCATGAAGCTCTGTGCCTCTAGATTCAGGCCCAGACCGGATTTCCTCCACCGTCATCACACTATTCTCCAACCCATTTTCCTTGACGAACTCTAGAACAATATTAGCCCACTCTTGAATCCGATGCCAGAGTATAAGGCACTTTCTGTGATTTTTATCCAGCCATTCTGCTCGGCCTTGCGAGACCAAAGCTGAGAGGAACGCTTCCCTGGCTTCGTGGGTAAGAGACCTCTCGATCGCAGGGTTTGAGAAGAGAGGAAAGTCTTGGTCTTCCACAGCAATCACAAAGAAGTTCTGGGTTTTACAATAATCGAGAATGAGGTCCTTCCATAGCTGAATCTGCTTCTCGCGGATGTCTCTCACTGGTTGCAGTGTGAAGTAAGGAGGGTAATTGAAGAACTGGGGAAGCTTGAAATCACCCAATTTCTGCATCTGGGTGACTTTTGACGACGATCGCGAGCCTGAAGCTAACTGTGGAGGAAGGACGATGATAGTGATGCGTTGCAGATTCTTCTTCTTAACCCCAAGAAAAAGGTCACTGAGAATAGAGGTGTCAAACGGGACGGGCCGGCCCAGCACGGCACGAGCCCAGCCCGTTTAAATGAGGCACGGCACGGCACGAGCACGAATATTAATGGGTCGTGCTCGGCACGGCACGAAAACTTGGGCCGGGCCGGGATCAAGAAATAGGTCCAATAGACCGGGCTGGCCTTGGCCCGACCCCCCTTCAAGCATGGCACGAGCCCAAGCACGGCCCATTTAGCTTCTTTTTTTTTTTTTTTTCCTTCTCAAAAAGTAAAAATGCAATAATTTGATATCTAATGTCATTGTTTATATGTTTAAAAATATATATATTCATAAACATATATTTGATGTCTTTCATTTTAGGGAAATTACTTGGGTTCTTAGTTAATTAAACATATCAACTACAAATTAATTAAACAACATTGGACTTGATATCTAATCAATACATATGACATATACGTTTCTCCTATAATCAAAGCAAAACATTTCTTCACATATAAAATAATAAGTTGTTTAAAGATGAAAAGTTCAAGTGAACTTTGTGGAGTTGGACACTTTTTGCCCTCCGCCCCTTCATATTGTTTGGATGTTTGATTGATTAATGTTTTCAAATAATTCATAATTTCTTGCCTCAAATGATATTTTTAATGTTTATAATTTGAATTATCTAGTGGAAAAAAAAAATTAAGTGAAAAAAAATCAAATTAAATGGGTTGGTTCTTGGGCCCGAGTATGGCACGAGCACGAGCACGAGCACGGGCACGGCACGAGCTCGGCCCGGTCCGTTTGAATATGGACATGGGCTTTGGGCCGGGCCGGGATCAATGATTTTATTAAATGGGCCGGCACGGCATGGCCCGATAAATTAAATAGGTCGGCCCGGTACGGCACGAAAATGGTAAAAGTACGAGTTTAAATGGGACGGGCCGGCCCGGCCCGGCCCGTTTGACACCTCTAACTGAGACGCCATTTTGCTGACAATTCAAGAAGCACGGGAGGTTAGAAAGGTGGGGTGATCCTCTGTTCTTTTCTTTTTCTGGGCCCTCTTTGGTTGGCCGTTCGATCAAAAACCCTTTTTTTCCAGACCAAAAAACAAACCCATTTTTTTGGGTGCTCTTTTTATACAAACAAACGATAATTTACTTTAATTTAATTTAAACTACGAGTAAGATCAAACTCTGAGTGCTTTAATTATGAGTATAAATAAATAAATCATTTAAATTTTTTGTTTTTGTTTTTGGAAATGAGTTTACCAGTTTGTTTACCATTCTGCTTCCATTTTTTCCTGTCATTGTTCAATTTAGTTAATTAGTCATAAGCAATGCTTTCTAATATCAAATACCAAATTTTATTAGATACATTCAAACAGTACAACTAATGTGTTTGTTAAGACATTGAATTAGTCATAAGCAAGTACTGCTATGTTACATGTACATAGTAGAACAGGTCATGCATACCGGTATTACCGACCATGTACGTAGAGTATCCTTCAATTTTAATCCCTACAAAAAAAATATACACGATTCAAATAGTTCGATGTTTAAGTTGATTCAAACACAATCCAAAAATTTCACTCTCATTTCTTCTATATCCTTTCTTTCAAATTATACAATTCCGTATCATGATGCGATGTTGATATTAGATTTTAGCAAAAGTTATAATTTTGGTCCCTATAATTTGGATTATATTTTTTTTTACTTTAGTCTCTGTAATTTCCATTTTTTTCAATCAAATTCGTATACTTTGCTATCCTTTTGTACTCGTCTCGTCTAAGATGGAGTGTCCCCATCTAGTTTAAACATTTTCTCGAAATTAAAAATAAATAAATAAATAAAATAAGAAGAAGTCAAGTTTAAAACTGTTATATTTTGGCTAAGATATTACTAAAGAAATAATAATTAAAATATAATTACTAATTAAAATAATTAAAAATGGATAAGATATTACTTAATTATAAAAACTTTTTGTGTGCGGCTATACTTTTAAAATATATTAATATTTAAAGAGTATAGCCGCGCGGCTATATGCTTTAAATGTATTCGAATATTTTAAAAGTATAGCCGCGCGGCTATACGGCACAAAATTAATTAAGTAATATCTTAGCCATTTTTAATTACTGTAATTAGTAATTAAGATTTAATAATCATAGAGTGGGTCTTGAGTTAGTTCATTTTTGGAATACTCATAATTGAAACTATTTTTAAAATATATTCAAAAATTGAAAATAATTTTAAAACTCCAAAAAAATCATTTAAGATAAGTAAATATAATTAATTAATATTTATTAAGTAATTTATGAAATTAATTAAATTAATTAAATACTAATTATCCATTAAATAAAGAATATTAAAAAACAGTAATGAGTATAATTAAATAAGATTAAGATATTACTTAATTGCAAGTATTAAACTAAACAAACTAATTTTGTATATAAAAAAATAAAAATAAAGTCCACAAAATCATTAATTACTATTTATTAAGTAATTTATGAAATTAGTAAAAATATTTAAATAATAATTATTCACTAAAGAAATAATAATTAAAACCCAATTACTAATTAAAGTAATTAAAAATGGCTAAGATATTACTTAATTATAAAACATTTTCTTTTAAAATATTCTAATACATTTTTAGCGTATAGCCGCACGGCTATACTCTTTAAATATTTATATTTTTTAAAAGTATAGTTAGGTCTAGCAATTAGGCAATGCATTAAACCATATCATATATGGGTTTAGAAAATGACTTACATGTTCCATTGCAATTGAATTCCGGCATATCTGATGAACCTCAAAAAGGTTGATGGATTTCATATTAGCCAAAGCCTGTGAAGCAATTTTTAAAATAATTATAAACTTTTAAAGTTGTGCAATTTTTTATGGGTTCAGATCCTCTATTATGTTAGGATTTGCTTGACTTTTATTATTTACATGTCCGAGCCTAATTGAGTCCTTAATATTATTTACATGCCCGTGTGTGGGTACTCTAGGAGCAAAATCTAGCATACCTTGGTTGGGAATAGAAATAGTAGCATCCGTGAAGCGAAAAGCAACGGTAAGACCCTCTTCTGCACCATTCTTGTTACTCATCATCATGAAAAAAAAGAGGCATAAATCCATAGATATTAACTCCATGCAAAAGGAGATATCCAGAAGAGTAAGAAAAGAAAACTAATGTCGCCAATGACATATTATGCCTATAGAATTATATGAATCTTTGACATTTATGGTGGTGAGCATAAATTTGAATACCATTCACAAATGTTACATTGAATCATGAGTTTCATGCTGCAAACCCAAGGATAGGCTTCAAAATGAAGAACACCCACAGACTCTGCCATCAAGGGGAAGTAATCTGGCTGTTCAGGGCACAGTGAGACACCCAATAAAGTTCTAAACAATGTCACTCTACCTAGTAGTAGGTAAATCCAGGCCAATGATCTTTAACGATGACTGTCTCCATTGCTCAAGTCAACATAGCAAGTACTTTATTAAAATGTAATTTCACCTAGGTGAAAGAAATTATTATAAAGGTATAACACTTATTACTTTATCCTCAGGACGTGAGGATGAGCATGAGGGGCAAAAAAAAGAGTATGCCATACAAGTGAGAAGCCTTTAACAAAGAAAACAAACACATCATACAGCTAATTTCCTATTTCATTGAGAATGCAATAGATTATCCAATATACTATGCAGCTATCCAGAAACAAATATCATCACTGAATCAAACTGATTCCGAGAGATTTACAAAAAAGACATGAATCACAAGATTAATCTAGCTTGGTAAACCATACCAAAGTTGCCAGAAAAATACGAAAGAAATTAAACAGCAACACATAGAGAATAAGATCACTTTGGCAATTACCCTTCAGTAACAGTAGGGAGCTTCTCATATTCACCCAACTCTCTCAACTTTTGAGGAAGAATGCAAAGACCCCCAAACTTCTGCTGCAAGTAAATGATCCCAGCAAACAATAGACCTCCAAAAGGAATGATCACATCCCAAGCAGTAGAGTAAAAATCTGCCACAGGACTTGCATAAATGTATGATTCATTCAATGGGTGATGAGCAGAGTTTTGAGCCCTGTAAAGATCATATGCATGTGGCAGAACTTGAACAAAAGTTGTTCCGATGTAGAACGAAACAGACAGAGCATTCTTCTTTGATTTGCAGAATATGTTGAGTAGAATTTGAGGCAACAAAAAACCATCCAAGACCAAACCCGCATAAGATTTCAAGGCACCCAAAAGGGGGTGCTCTTGATAACCTGAAAGCACTGGAACATCACTGTTAGTGCCAATCTTCCTCCAATTCATCGGAAGCAAAGCAGCTAAGGCTCCTGCCACATATACTGGTAAAGCCACAATGAAAGCCTTCTTCTCCATGACCCAGAGCTTGTTTTGGGGACTGTTGTTCGTGGCTTTTGCTAACCATGTTAGGCTCAGAAGACGCAGTTTCAACAAGAAACCTACCATGGTTATTGTCCTTACAATAACCTCATTAACTTCAAGCCCTCCACCGCGTCCAAGGAATACTTTTCTGTGGTTGGTGTTGTTTGTGAGCATGGCTTCATCATTTAATATAAGAGGAACCATGTAGGCCAGGGTTAGAATAAGTAGCATGAAAATGGAAATGGAGGGAAGCACATCAGGATGTCTTTTCACATGGAAGAGTTGCAATGCAACAAAAATACATGCAAGTGTGGTGGATATAAGAGCCAAGCTGATCTCCACATCAATCCACCAAATGGATCGCTTTGCTTCATCCACATAACTGGCAGCTGAAGAGAGATCCAAATGTTCAAAATAAAGAGGGTCGGACTTTTTTCGCGTGCTTTCAATGCTTCCCTTAATAAAACCAGAAGAATTTGCTGGAGGGAACTGAAAATTGACAACAATTTCACAATCAACAGAATCAGTTGTTGGTTGTACATTATTTGAGCCCAGATTTCTACAGCCTACCATGCACAGGCTTCCTTCGGTTTCATCATAGATCCCTTCAGCAGAAATCTGCACTTCGTGTACTGTTGATGTATTTCCCAACTTTGCATAAGATATCAGTTTGATGCTAATTTTGTAGCTAATATTGTAGGTGATCCTGTGGTTGTAGCTATAGCTCACATGTGCACCCACAGAATCCACAGAGTACCCTTCAGTGCTTGCAACTGAGTTTGAATTTCTCATTGCATACCAATTCTGGTGGTAAAACTGGCTGCCAACTGAGAGAGGGACAGAACTGCCCCAAGAAACTACTCCTCTAGAATTTTTAGCTGACATATCGAATCGCATGTCATAAGAAAACGGATTCGGGTATGTTTTAGTCTTGTTATTAGCATTAGCGCCAGTCTTCAATATTGGGCACAACTTGGTTACTTTTTCAATTTGAGTATACTCATATTTCTGACCTGGAAGTAGAATTCTTCTACGTTCATTCTGATTGCTTTCAAATGTGATCTTTTCGAAATAACCTGACTTTGTCACAGCCTTCTTGCTCCAAATTTGCCCTACAACCCCACTAGTGCTTCCAATAGTCCATATTGCAGTGAACTGGATACCTCTAAGGTGACTTGGGGTCCGGGCCCTTTTCGCTTTGAAAACATGTGGTTGGAACATCCGGACTTTAACAGGAACTTTAAGGAATGGTGGGCTGAAGAGCATTTGCATGGATGGCCGGGATATAATTTCATGAGGAGGTTGAAAGCCTTAAAGGGGAAAATGAGAGTCTGGAGTAAAGAGGTGTTTGGAGATGTGGCTGCTGCCAAGAAGTTGGCAGTAGCGCGAATTGCTGAAATTGACAGACTTGAAGGTATGCACGGGCTGGACAGTGTCAAAATAAAGGAAAGGGCTGATCTTGTTCTCTTGATTGGTGATTTGGTCATTAAAGAAGAGATAAAATGGAGACAAGGGGTAAAGTGGAGTGGGCTAGAGATGGCGACGGGAACACTAATTTTTTCCACCACTTAGCCAATGGTAGGCGAAAGAGGAATCTCATCGAGAGGCTGGAGGTGGAGGGATTAGGGACGTTTGTTAATGAAGACGAGATTGAGGCTGAAATAATTTCTTTCTTCAAAACTCTTTATAGGAGTAATGAAGAGGCAGGTTGGGGTTTGGAGGGCCTGAATTGGAATCGCATTAGTTCTGATGAGGCTGCAAGGCTTGAGAGACCTTTTGATGAAGAGGAGGTCAAAAGGGTTGTTTTCGATTGTGGGAGAGATAAATCTCCAGGGCCTGATGGTTTCTCCATGCTTCTCTTCCAATCTTGCTGGGATACTGTGAAAGTGGAGCTCCTAAAGACTCTGGAGGAATTCTACCACAATGGCATTATCAACGCGGTCACAAACGAAACGTTCATTTGCCTTATCCCCAAGAAAAAAGAGTCCGTTAAAGTGAGTGATTTTCGGCCTATTAGTCTTGTGACAAGCTTGTATAAGGTGATTTCTAAAGTTTTAGCCTCGAGATTGAGGGAGGTGATGGGGAGCACCATCTCCTCTTCCCAGGGAGCTTTTGTGAGAGATAGACAGATTTTAGACGCTGCCTTGATTGCTAATGAGGTAGTGGAGGAGTGCAAGAGTCGTAAGAAAGTTGGCTTGGCTTTCAAAATCGACTTTGAAAAGGCCTATGATCATGTGGAGTGGCACTTTGTAGATGATGTATTGCTTAGAAAAGGGTTTGGGGAAAGGTGGAGAAGTTGGATTAGAGGTTGTCTTGAATCGGCAAATTTTTCTGTTATGATCAACGGCAGACCTAGAGGTAAGTTTAAGGCCTCTAGAGGATTGAGACAAGGTGACCCTCTTTCTCCCTTTCTTTTCATTCTGGTGATTGATGTTCTTAGCCGCATTCTTGAGAAAGCTCAGGATTTGGATGTGTTTCACGGCCTTGTTGTTGGCCATGACATGGTGGAAGTTTCTCACCTCCAGTTTGCCGACGACACGATGTTTTTTATCGGGGATAAGTTGGAGTATTGGCACAATCTTCTTGAGATATTAGACCTGTTCTGTTTCATTTCAGGTATGAGAATTAATAAGGAGAAATGTTCTTTAGTTGGCATTAATCATTCTGAAGAGGTAGTTTCTGGGTTGGCTGGGGATTGGGGCTGCGAGTTGGGAGTCTGGCCTACTTTGTACCTGGGTCTCCCCCTTGGTGGGAATCCCAGAGCTCTTTGTTTTTGGGACCCAGTTGTGGAGAGGGTGGAAAAAAGGCTGCAAAATTGGAAGAAGGCTTGCCTTTCCAAAGGTGGAAGGCTAACTTTGATTCAGGCCGTCTTAAGCAACATCCCCATTTATTACTTGTCGCTTTTCAAAATGCCAAGTCGTATTGTGAAGATTGTTGAGAAGCTGATGAGAGATTTCTTGTGGGAGGGTTTGGACGATGGGAAGTCCTCTCACTTGGTTAAGTGGGAGATTGTTGGAAAACCAAAATGCAAAGGTGGCCTAGGGGTGGGGTCTTTAAACTCAAGAAACAAGGTGTTGTGTGCCAAATGGCTGTGGCGGTTTCCCATTGAACCGGACTCTCTTTGGCACAAGGTGATTAGTAGCATTTACGGGGAGAGTGCTAACGGTTGGAACGCTTGTATTCCGTTGCGTAGTTCTTGTCGTAAACCGTGGAATAACATTTCGCGTGGCTATCCGGTGTTTCTTCTTGGCTGCGACCTTGTGGTGGGAAGCGGGGAAAAGGTGAGATTTTGGGAGGATGATTGGTGCAAGGGGGGAGTTCTCAAAGAGGTTTTTCCCAGACTTTTCAATTTGTCCAGCAAGCAGAATGCCAACATCTCTACTACTTTGAGTCACGGTGTGTTTCCTCACAGTTGGGACCTTGGGTTTAGAAGGAACCTCACGGTGGGGGAACTAGATGAGGTGACTAGGCTGTTGGTTATCCTTGATGATGTTAGACTTATCCCTTCCAGGATGGATTACAGAAGATGGAAGCTAGACCAGACCGGGCTGTTCTCCTGCCACTCCTTCTATTCTTTCATTCATGATAACGAGCCTGCGGAGAGTTTTCCTCCGTACAATCTGATTTGGAAAAGTAAAACCCCTCCTAAGGTCAAGGTTTTCGTTTGGCAAGCTGCCATTGGAAGAGTTAATACGTGCGATCTGATGCAGCGACATCGCCCCTTTACGTGTTTATCCCCCCATTGGTGTGTGCTTTGCAATTCTGCTGGGGAGTGTGTGGATCACCTGTTCATTCATTGCCCTTATTCTATTCAGATTTGGTGGTCACTGCTGAAGGAAGTTGGTGCTGTCTGGGTCATCCCTAAAAGGTTGTTTTGAGTTATTTTCCTCCAATTTTGTTGCTCTGGGTAAAGGGAAAAAGGCTAAAGTCCTTTGGGGGTGCTTAGTTCAGGCTCTTTTTTGGAATTTATGGATTGAACGGAATAGAAGGATTTTCGAGGACTACAAGGGGGTGGGGGTGGACGAGCTTTGGGATAGAGTGAAGTTTTGGGCGGCTTTATGGGCTTCTGTCACCAATATCTTTAAGGATTTGTCTGCTTCCGCTATTTGTCGTGATTTGTGTGCGGCAGTGAAATGATGGCCTCCTAGTTCTCTTTTGCTCTAGTTCTGGTTGTTTGATTTTTCTTGGCTGTTTTTTTTCCTTTTAGGCGTGTTCTCTAGTGGGTGTTGTTGCTCCCTGCTTTTGCTTTGCTCTGTGGATTCCTTATCCACGTGTTCCTGTTCTGTGTTCTTGTTTCTCTTTTGAATATATAAGTTTCTATTCAAAAAAAAAAACACGTTTGTTCCTTGTGGAAACAAATATGTCAACCTAAACAATGTTTTCACGTTGAA